ATTATGACTTAGCTATCCCATTATTATGAGATAGTATCTCATAATAATGAGATAGCTAAGTCATAATTATGAGATACTATCTCATAATAATGAGATAGCTAAGTCATTATTATGGGATAGTATCTCATAATAATGAGATAGCTAAGTCATAATTATGAGATACTATCTCATAATTATGACTTAACTATCTTGATAGTATCTCATAATTATGACTAATTGACTCTCATAATTATGACATAATTATGATATATGCTATCAGATACTATACTCATAACTATGAGATAGTATCTCATAATTATGAGATACAAGTTGTATTTATTTTTTTATCAGGGTGGCGGAAATGGGCTTCCATACTTCATAGCTATTACAAATGTTTAGAGGAGGAAAAAAAGGCTTCGTTGAGCTCTTGTTTGCCCGCAAAGTTGCCTAACTAGAATCCAAAGCACAGTTAAATTTATTTCAGTACATGTAAAAACCAAACATTAACAATTTGTGAGTACAATACTATAATTCCAAAGACACAATTATTACTTAAAGTTAATATTTTAAAATTGATATTTACGGGTACATTATATTCAGGCATGACACAAGCATCCTAAAACTGGTCCTAAATTTTAGTAATCGGCGCTAGAAGGTTCACAACACAAGCAGGAATGAAAGTTTTAGTGAAACTCATCCAAATTTTCATTGTGTAATATAGCTTTTTTAATTATTCCTCTTTTGTAGTTGATTTATATAATTTGGTTTTCAACTAAACAGCACGATGTTTATCTCATCACAAGACTCACCGRTCGCTTTCAAAGGCTTTACCCTTGTCATGGTGAGTGTGTGCTTTCATTCTGTCACAGTCACGTCAATGTGGGTTTTATTTATCAGTGAACCGTTCAAAAACATTTATCTTTACAACAAAATTTGGTGTTATAAAAAAAACAAAAAGAAAATGTTATGTGTCTAAATAAAATAAGTACATACTTGTAGGTAGATTTATATTTTTTAGGGAGCATCCGGACATTTTTGGATATCATCTATTATGATATTACACTTCATATAAAACTGACATATGAGAAATATAAATAAAGAATCCGGTGTTTTTAGAACAACTTTTAGATTAGGTTCTTTTGGGTTGTCACATAAACATACAGACCTACCAATCAAATATGTCAACATTGTGTGCCGTGTTGGACAAAATAAAACCTTTCAGCCCTATAATCCCCTCACACCAGATGAATGACTGTGTGCTTCTGTTGAAAAATATGTTTTATAGCAAGAAAAAAGTTTTTAAAATATATTAATATCAAGACAACAGGTCAAAATGGAAAACGTTTCAGATTTCAACATTAAAACACAATTACTGTGACATTTGAGAAGCTTTTTTATTTGCATAAACCTGTTTCAGTAAAAAGTGTGCAATAAAAAAATAATTGTCACTTTCTTTACTTGTGTTAATCCCCTYCCCAGCCGGCAGTAGCTGTGGGTAACGTGGGCCAGCTGGCTGTGGACCTCATAGTGTCCACTCTCAACATGAGCAGAGCGGGATACATCCACACGGACTGTCTCATCCCGATGGCCGGGAACAACCCATATGTCAGCTGCAAGGAGGATGCTGAGGAGCTTCATACTCCTGCCGAAGGTAACAATGTTTGAGTCCCTTTGTTTAACTTGTGTAGTGCTGCTGATATTTGGAGTTAAATCTGTGTATTTGTTGGACAAACAGGGATGGGATTGTTTAGCTTTTTGTGTTGAAAATGTTGAAATGAAACTTACTCATGAAGTCAATCTGTCATTCAGTTTACACAGCAGCAGAACTGAAGCTGGCAGTTCTTCAGATCAGAGCACCTATTACTCAGGTAAATCTAMAGCTGGCAGCACGAGCTTTAATTTCACAGCAATATGAAAATAAATATTTGAGTCCTTGTTGTCTTGGTTGAGATGTTTTCAGTTTGTGTGATTCTGYTCCCGGCAGACAAAATCCAAAAAGTTTCGTCAGCTGCTCGTTTCCTGGATCAAAGCCAGCGGCTTCTCCAGGACAGTGGTTCTCTCCAGCAGCCATGCCTACCAGAGAGACGACCAGCAGCTGCAGGGGTAAACATTCACTCTTACATCACTCATTTTAAAAAAATTTATTTCTGTAGCCGACTGCAATCTGAGTGCTAACAAATTAACGTGCACGTTAGGACTCCTTTGAGGTACCTGGCCACTCCGCCTCTGCAGAAGGTGAGCGCAGACGCTCTGAAGGAGCTCGGCTGGAGGGAGATGGAGCGAGCGCCGGCCTTTCCTGGAGTACAGGACACCGCTGCAGAACCAAGACTCTGCATCCCAGGAGGAGGCATCACCAAAGGACTTTACACAGACAGGTGAATGGATGTTAAATAGAAAATTCTAGCTGCGTTGGCAAAGCTTGTGGGATTAAATAAAGAGCAATGAGATGAAATCCCCAGATCACCTCCCAGCCTCGGGCCTTTGTGGGTAGAGTTTGCATATCCTCCCAGTATGTGGGCTTTTTCTGGGTGCTCTAGTTTCCTTCCACAAGCCAAAAACTTTAAAAAACAAAGCCTGTAAAACTAAGCTGCACACAATGAACAGATTAGGGAAAGAAATAGATTTTTTTTTTACAATAAATCTCTCATTTGAAACAATAAGCATGTTTTGCAATTGCAGTCTTCAGATGTACAAGATGCTTTGTCCAATTTTAAAATATGGGTTTCATTAATACTTCATTAATTTTCAATATATCATGTTTTGTTTTCTCCTTCACACGTTCCAGCTGTGCTGAAGATCTCCCRCTGGCTGTGCTGCTGCTCTTTTGCTCAGAGGGCGACAACATCCCGGACGCCTTCACGCTCGTCWATCATCTCAACGACTGGCTCCATCTGCTGGACAATCCCGTAAGCTTTTTATTTATTTTTATTCTTTTCCTGTAAATGGACACATTTTGGAGAAGTAACTAATTGTTTCAGGCTCATCTAGTATAGATTTGAGTTTAAAGCTTCACCCATCAACCGGGTGATTTATCCGATTCTTTTTCTAGAGCCAACAATCTCACAGCAAGTGGAAGATCCCAACTTCTTGGAGCCTCCTGTTTGGAAGCGGCATTCCACCTGCACTGTTTTGAATTAGCTTAAGAATGCACMGATGTTTTCCTATTCAAACAGCTGCATCACAGCACCAACATGATCTTATTTGGATATTACTTGTGCCAATATTACAGGAACTGACCAAAACGAGCACTTCTGGATTACTATGATTAATTATTTGAACGATTTCCAATAAGARAGTCATGAGAACCTGGCCTGTTGTTTGTTTAAACTAATAAAGACTTCACTCTACCCTCACTGGACCTCTGCCCCCTTTAACAGAAAATGTTTGGCCCAGAGCCATGGCATATTCCTGGCAGTCCCACCTCCGAGTAATTTGATTCCTTTCCACAACTCCCAGTGTCGTAACAGGACAGTTGTCTTATTCAGCAGTCAAGTTTGTGGTTTTTCCTTTCTGTTTGCATCGTTTTGGTTGTTTTCCGTGTGGGCCGGTTATGGGAAAGGAATGACCTGACGGCGTTTTTAAAAAGGAAACTTGGAGCAATAATGTGAACATGCTGGAAAAACAAGATTTTAATCTGTTGCTTTAATTTTATTTATTTATTTCCCATGTAATAAAAAGGCAAAGACGGGTCTGTAAGTAAACTAAGTGATACCAGTTTTATTTAGAGGTTACACTCTGAAAAACTTTAAGACAAATTCATTTCAAAGGGAGAAAAGTCACAAGGTTTTTGTTGTGTACATATCTGTAACAAGTTCTTTATTTTTACAAGCAAAAATACCTTTAATACACATCTTAAAAAAAAAACTATGTACATCATGGAAACATTTCCTGCCACTGTTTTACTCATGGGTGGTAGCAGTATTTGTCATTATACAAACCTTATCACCTGAAAAACTTCAAGTAGTTTCTTATAAAAATAGATTTTTTTAATTATTATTTTCTCTCTGAAAAAAGAAAATGTTTTTCCAAAAATACACAAATGACCAGCATTAGAAATTGGCAATGCATAGCCCCAATTTTCAGTCGCATAAGAAACAAGAGAAAAAAGTATTTACTGATTCTGTAAGCAGAAAACGACAGAGGCTGGGTGAGGTTCGAGGTGCTTTGTTTACCTTCAGAGAAAGTCAGTAAATGCTGTAAACATTTCAGAAGGAACGAAGTTTGGAAAGCTGAGATGGTGGGTCTGAGGCATGACGAGGTGGGCGTTGCTTAAAAAAAGACTTGATTGGACTGAAATAAAAACAAAGCAAAAGAAATAAAATGGCGAGGAGGAAGAGCACAGAGGTTGGGAACGGGGGCAGCTGGAGTTCCCTGCCGATGTTTGCTTTGGCTGCAAACAGCTGAAGTCTTGTGGTTGGAGCTGGTCAGCAGTCACTGGTTTTCGTCCTGTCTCAAGACACAAAATCAAGTAAAACATCAAAACAGCAACAAAGAATGAGCTTCAAATTAAACCTGAGGCACAAGACGGTCGTGTCAAATATTCAAAATAAATCTTTCAGCTAAGAAAACATCAGATTCTTTATGTAGCAAAAGCAGCTGTCTCGTTGAAAAACAAACATGTTGCACTGCTTAGAGGAATTTTAACTAAAACATTTTAGGGCTGCACCAATTAATCGACAACTAATTTAATAATCGATTAATCATTTTCCTTTTTTTGTTGTTGTTCTTTACTTTGTTTTTCTCTCCAAACTGCTTTGACACCTTCCACTGCCACATCTGCCTTTCTGTCCTTGACACACATGCACAGTAGTGGTAACTGGGGTWGGCCGTGGACGTCACAAGTACGGCTGCACCGATTAGTTGAAATAATCGATGACGTCGAGTATGTAAATTTGTCGACGCAGATTTTTTTTTTATTATCGATTTGCTGTATTACATAACCACCAGGTGAATGTTCATGCAATTCCATTTCGGTACCTAAAAGCATCATTGTGACCGTATTGGCATAAGAGTGGTGAGTTTTTCATGAAAATATTACAATTACAGAAAATATTACAATATTAAAGAACTGTTCTTGTTAATTTGATGAAAACATTTTAARTTTCCAGTGCACTCACATCAGAATAACTTATAGATTTGTTGTTAGAATAATCGATTAATCGAAAAAATAATCGTTAGATTAATCGATTAGAAAATAATCGTTTGGTACAGCACTAAAACATTTAATACTTTCTTCTCAGGAATAATTTTGCAGTAAAACTTCAGTTTGTTAACATTTTCACTGAACAGCACAAAAATTAAGGAAATTTGTGTTTGGTAGATAATTTCTTTGTTGTAACAATGCTTCCTGGCAAAAAAAAATTTTTATACTCGGCACCCGATTGGCAGCATCTGGGACRACCAGAAGCTGAACAGCAAAATAAGCTGTTTGGCAGAGAACATTTGGCAAATCTTTGATGTGCACAACCCACATACTCAGCTCTACTGCACATCCCACAAGTGCATGTTCCTTACAAATGTGGCACAATTTAAAATAGAGATTATACCACATATACAATTTTTGCCAAGAAAAATGTTTCAAAAACGCAGTGGGCTCAGCTAACTAAAACATTAACTTCACTAACACCTGTAACAATACACAAATTTCTTAGCTCTGTTACGTAAAAAAAGCTAAATTGATAAAAATTGGGTGGAAGCTAAACCACTAATATTTAATATACTAACATCTGGTCCACCATGTGCCAACAATGTGCTACAGCAGTCAGTTTTTCTTTGAACACACCTGCTTCAAGCATTCAGTTCCACTCTRTTTTTCTGCCTCAAACCTCAAAGTAATKGTTTCAGTTTTAYAGTCAAAAACTAAACTTCAACACAGATATTAAACCAAACATAAGTCAACACAACTCTAAAATATTTCATCTCACTACATATTTTACAGGTGAAATTTAAGAAACTAGAAAATGAGAAACTACATCACGCTGCATTGCATGCTGGGTAAAAGCCTTGTTTTATGGTAAAGCCAGGAGGAGGAGCTACAGCTGACAGACAGGAAGAGTGGATGTAGGAGGGAGAAAAAGGCACTGAAAAGTGACAGCCTTTGAAATTGTGTCTTTGCTAATTTAGTTCTTATATTTAAACATTAACACTAAAAGTTACTATTTGTATGCCCCAGATTAAAGCAAAGCTGCCTTTGTTTCACCTTTTAACATTTTGAAACAAACTCAGGAAGTCATCTGACTGAATGACGTCCCTGCAAAGGATGCTGGGAAAACATCTGAACATTATTTTTTTGACTTTTTACAATAGTTTTGAGTCTTGACAAATTCTTGTTCAGATTTAGTTTCAAATTTATATTGAAGTTTGTTTTTGCTTGTAAACTGGAACCATGAGTCAGAAGTGTCTGAGGACAGTGAATGAGGTAGAGCGTGTCATGTCGATGCAGCAGACTGCTTGATAAAGTAATGCTCACAGACCRGTCTTAAGAACGTCACTGCTGCATGTAAGAGGCAATTTTATAGATTATATCAAAGAAGTAACGATGCATGTTGTAAAATTATTGGTGGTAAATAAAAAACCTACATTATTTAGTGCAAGTTAAGACCGTTACTTGTTCATGAAAGAAATGAAAATGCTAAACTCTTCATGAAAATATTATTTCCGCTCTGAGTGGAACTGCCCACCAYTGCTACAAAGAAATAATACAAAGCACAAACTTCCTTATTTTTTGTATTCATTATACAATTCTTTAAAGTCACTTAAAAAAAGCAAGCGTTGCCCTGCAGTTTGTTTAATTTATGCCACCAAAAATCTGCTTTTTTAAAGCTAACTTACTCTTTATTCAGAGTTTCTGTGAATCTTTCAGTAAAGTTAAGGCCTTTAAAAAAATAACCAAAGAGCCCCTCAGATGAGCTCATGAAACAAAATCAAAATCTAGATTCAAATGAGGCACTGTGACACGCTCAGGAAGCAAAGTTAGCARAAAAACATACCGACATGCAACAAACCTTCAGAGAAATGTTCTCWACAGAGAGCCCACTCTTCACTCAGAAATGACTTCTTTTAAATGAGTACCAAAGAACATTTAAAGATCTTGTAATCTTTGTCTGTGCCAACAAAATCCCTTATATATTACATATTTACATCGAGAGCAGTGATTCCAAACATTTTATTGAACACGGATCAAGAGCAGCTTTCCAATTAGAATATTTTCACTTCTTTGATCCGTTTTTCCAGCTCCAACTATGAGCGTTTCAACCATTTTTTATCACATACACACACCATGCTAAAGTGCAGCCAAAATTACAACTCCAAACTGCAGAACCAAGCAAATCAATAAGAGAATCAAACCCCAACAGCAACAAATACACACACACACACACGCACAATCACACACCTCCAGGTACACAAGTGGGCGTTCTTTTCTTTTTTTTAATAACAAGTGGTGGGGAGACTTCCTCCTCTAAATGTGCTCTTCGTGGTCGGTGCCATCTCAGAGAGGGGGGGGCGGTGAATGTAGGATACCCCTCCCCCCCACCGGACAGAACAGCTCCTGTCACGTACAGCAAATGCACCCCAAACTGTCCAGGAAAACCACAACAGGAGAGTGACAACTCGCTGCTTTCAGCCGTATTACTGGAACAACACTGACATGTGACACAACAAAGGAAGGCTTCTCAGAAGTGACTGAGCAGCTGCACCGACACAGAAGTGCTGCATCAGGTCTAACTGTAAGTCGTTTATAGAGCAATAAAAAACAAACATGTCGGTAAGCTTGAATAGCAAATTTACATTAAAKACTAGAGTATGATGGAGGAACAGGGAAATAAAAGCATCAGTTGACATTTTAATACAAGTTATGAACTTGGGAAACCTGTTTGGACATCTTTAAAAATAAGTATAAAAAATTTGTCCATGATAATTTTGGGTTCTTGCCTTAAGGCGCAAACATTAAATCTAATGCTGCAGTTAAACTGATTGCTAAGTATGTGTGTGAGAAATAAGAAGTGGTTTTGACCAGAAGATATAATCACCTTTTCCTCTTCCTCTCCGAGTCATTGGACCTGGACTTGCTTTGGGCCATCTTGGTTGCTGCAGATTTGGAGATRCTGTCTTCTCTGCGCCGTTTGCTGCATTAAAAGATAGAAAAGTAGTTAAAAGATGTCTCTCTAGTTACATTAGATTATAACAAACATTTACCCAATAACATGTTTTGTGACCAATAAAAAGACGGTGTACTTTAGACAAAACTACATGATCATAACTGATTAACAGCTGCTGAAGAGAATTTTCCCGTTAAACCATTTTGTTAGGTTTACTGAAACAATGACAGCTGATTACTGTTGACCTATCCAAATTAGTTGAGCTGATAAGGACCAGTGTCCAATAACCTCCGTGTGTTTTATGATCAGATTTATGATACTGACTGTGTTGTGCTGCCGTCCAGCTCCTGTTCCTTGCAGGAAGACTGTGCAGGTATTTTGCCGTCCTGTTTGTGCTCCCCTGCCTCCTCCTGCTGACCTCCTTTTTGGTTGCCGTTGTATCGCTCAGCAGGACACCTGGCCTGAGGCTGAGTCGATGGCGGAGACTCTGAAATTGGTTCCTGGTCCTCTTTGGATAATTCACGCCATTGGTTCTGCAGGAAGAATGTAACAAACACGGGACAAACATTTTAAAAAGTGTTGGCAAACCCTCTCTCTCACAAACATAATATCAAGTCCTGATTTGAACCTTTGATTAAAAACAACAGATAACACAACATATTGACTTTATTTCAATGCTAAAATCTAAAGAGTTCAGGTATAATTTAAGGCAAAGTAACGTCTCATATAAACTTAGACTTCAAACTACAATTTACTCTAGAAGACATTTATCTGTTGATTCAGATAAAATAACTTCCACCAGGAAAGCGGAACTAAATGTCACAGACTCTACTTGCAAACAATGAAAACAAAACTGGAAAAGAAAGAGTACAGTGAATTTGAAAAACGGTTATTGAGGTGGTTAGGGTGTGTGCCTTACCTGTACAGAAGAGTCTCCCATGATGAACTTGGCTCCTTCGAGGACAGCCATATAGGAGAAGCGCAGCTGGTCCGGAGTCTGGATCAGACCCATACGGTACTTCCTCATCTTCAACAGGATGCTTTTGATGTCCACCGATGACTGGTCTTTCCTTTTGTCCATCTGGAAAAGAAAGTTAAACAACCTGACTTACCACATAAGGAAGACGGTTTTAGTGTTTCCTGATGTGGTTTATTGTTGTTAAAACGAAAGAACACTGATGTGCTTCTTTTTATTGCTTTTGTTTGCAGGCACAGCTATTAAATACACCTCTTTAAAGGAGCTTGTTGCATAACATTTAGTATTAAAGAAATGTTGTTCACAAGTCCCCACATATCCACACAACTTACTGCTCTTAGCTTAACTGTAGCTTACATTATACTTTCAGCCCTTTAAAGTTTTTTTGTATCAGAACATGTTTTGCATTAAGCAAATAAGACAAGAAATAATTTATTCCTGGAAATAAAGAATAAAATAATGATAAAGGGATGGAATTGAAACTCAAGTCAAATATAATTAAAATAATGCATTAAACTACACTAATATAAGACAAAAACAAATCTAAATGTAAAACCTGAGTGGCACTTACGAGTACAAGGCATGTGTCAACTAAAGAAAACGTGCCCGAGCGTCCAATCCCAGCACTGCAGTGCACCACGGCCGACCCGTGATCCACCCCCAACGCGCCAGACTCCCGCACCTTAAACAGGAAATTCAGGAAYGACGCTGGGGATTCAGGAACGCCAAAATCGGGCCACGTGGTGTAATGAAAGTGGTAGATCTCTCTTTTCTCCCCCGTCTGTGAAAGAGGATACACGTGACCACATTAGCAGAATAGAAGTGACAACACGCCTGTTTGCTTGTGCCTGTCTGTAGTGATTTTTATCGGTAGGTGTGAGGTTACTGTCAGACATGTTAAACCACCCAGTTAAATATTTTAGCAACAGGTATTTTAATCAATAAACCAGCATCAAGGAAGTAAAAAGCGAAAGACAGAAACAACAGAGATGTGCATGAACTTGATCTTAAGGTTTGTTTTGATGATCTGCTTCATATTAGGCAATATTTTCATTCAAAGTGAACAACATATTACAAACATTATTAATAAAAATATAAAAAGGTACAGCTGTAGAAAGCATTGTTGTAGTTAAGTTTGACAGTTTGCATCACATTCACGCTTAATTGAAAACCCATGTTTACACCAAACAACGAGTCTCATCAGAAACAATGTTGCATTTCCTTTTAAAAAGATTTCATGCCAACTAGCTCTTGGAATGAATACAGTTCAGCGATCATGTGCTAAATAATAAAGTTGCCTACATTAAGATTCTGCAGCTCCAGTACTCTGGTGGTGTAGTAAGACTTGGTGTCCTCTGACAACAATGTGACCAAGAAACGAGTGTCTCGAAAGGCCATTTCCCTCTCCTCTGCTGTGGGCCAGTACTGGGCACACTTTTCCTGTCACAGGAGAAGAAAAAGAGACAAAACAGAAACATAAGCCAAGATAAAGTGAGTGTCAGATCAAGATATTTATCTCATGAACTGTAGTTGCAAAGCGAACCCTGGCATTCAGCTATAAATCACGATTTTCTTTTAAACCGTGTACCCAACATGAATTTGAAAGTTCACAGATCAACTCTGACATAAGTTTATTAAGTAATTTTGCTGCTGAAAACTTAGAAACATGGTCAACGTTAAGGACTTTTTTTTTCTTGGTTCAAATTATTTCCTTGGAGCTTTTTATCTTCCGTTCCAAGAAAMCAGTCGGTGAGCAAATCTCCTGACACAGCAAGATCCAATCCAGCTGCTTTACTAAGAAAGAGAGAGGTCACAGCTGCTCTGCCTGTGAWGGTTTTTCAGTGAGTGTTTAATCTGCACGTCACAGCATCACTGAAGTATGAGGGTTGAGCTTTAACCTAGATGCTCTACATTTGAACATGCTGTCAAAACACTACATTCTGCGAACGGAGGTACAAATAAATCCATATGAAACCAGTAAATATACCATTCATCTAAACTTAAGAATGTTTTGCCAAGCAAAATGTAGCTTTTCAAAAACTGTTTCTGAAGAGTGTAACAAGACAAACTGATATTAGATGCTCTAATTCCAGTTTTTATAAAAAGGACCAGAGACAGTTGGATTTTGAAGGTAAGTAAAAGAGCAACGTTCTTTACGAGTCTCAATGTTGCTTTGTCGAATCACGTTGCTATTATGAAACACTTTATGATCACAGTGAATAGGTGAGTTGTGATTGACAAATTATATAATAAGAAATATGAGGAGGTGAACTGAAACAGATCCTGCCTCACTGAAAATTATAATAATTTCCATAAATAGGATCTACAGCCTTAACCAAATTTTACAATATCAACATGCTGCACAAACAGTGTTTTTAGCTATGATTTAAGTATGACTGATTAGATTGAGGGCTTTTTTTTAAATTATACTTTTGTATTGTGGCACATTTTATCCGAAGTTGGTTTACGCAGATTAATTCCACAGCAGACTTTAGGAATTGCAGCATTAGAGATATTAACTAAGGCTATCTTCAAAGTCTGCAGCTGTGCATGGTAGTTAGAAGTAGAACATGCATGAAAACAAAACTTCCTCTAAGTAGAGCACCGTCTTCATTAATGCACACATGCATGTCCTATTATTATTGCAGATAAATAGGTCTATATGAAGTTATTAATGTCTACTTACTGATCCTTTCTCTATAACCCTGTTAAGCATGATGACTGCCTTGGTCTTCTGCTCCCAGATCATAAGCCAAAAATGGCCACAGGTGTTCCTCAGAGGGCCCTGTGGACAAAATCCACACAAACACAGTGATCAGAGGTTAAATGAATATGAGAGGAGCCTATGAGGAGACATGAGAAGTAATCTAAACAGAATGAGTAATACTGTTGAATACACTGACTAAACTACATTAACAACAGCTGGTCTCCATCGCTGAGTAACAGAGATTTTCAGAAAGAAATACTGTAAGGTCGACTCGTGACAGCTAAAGGTCAATGTGCTTCACAAAACTGCATGATGAGATTAATATCTTTAAATGTCAAAATGTTGTTTCAGTTACACAAATCCATGAGAAAACACACAAAAAAAAAAACAGCCAATAAACTATCAATACAAATCAAAAAACCGAAGAAAATTGAAGTTTTTAATGCACACACTGAAGTCAAAAATTAAAATGCTCAAAAAATATTTTGTTTAGAAGAACAGATTTTATTAGATTAAAAAAACATGCTATTTTGTGCCGTTTAATTTCAGAGAGGTTTTCACTGCTGTTATTGGTCTCTGTAACACCTTCACAAACCACAAATGACTCATTTCAGAAGAAACGAGGCACACCGATGGGGAAGAACAACTTTAAAACAGCCACTAAACTGTGGTTGGAGTCGAGTGGGGGCTGCTGAGCATCTAAAACAATTTGCAAACATTTAATTTGTCTCTGAATATGACCTTGCTTAATACATGCCTCCCACATTAATTTTAAAGGCTGCAAACCACAAAAACGTTTTGAGAGTGTTGAACTAAATCATGCAAAATTCAAGTCACTCTCTGGAAAAACTATAATAAACATTTATTCATTATTTTTTATTTAACATATTTCTCAATATATAAAAATTAACAAATATCAAGACAACATCCAGCTCTTTGTATTGTAACTTCAGTTGTGTAACTTATTTCTTTAATGTGAAAACTGTTGAAAAAAACAAGACTGTTTTGTCTTATTACACAAATTAAAATCCAGCTCCACGTGTTTCTATTGATGTCATTTCCCCACTAGAAAAATGTGTGATGGAGGTCCATGGAAGGCAAATAAGTTTAAATCAAATAAGCAAAAGAGGATGCAGTTAAAATWAATAAAAGGTATTTAAGCTACGTTTTGAACATCCAGAACACGTCCAACACTTGTTGGCTGCTTGTGCTCTTTAGGTCAGACGTGTSTCRGGAAGCTCCTCTGTTGTTTGAGACGCTGGGGGAACCGTCTGATGGGGGAACGTGGCTCGACCTAATACCAGTCTCTGTTTAATGACGGATGAAATAAAGAAAGTGGCGGTACTTTATTTACTTTGAGCAAGTGAACATCGTGCTCACAAGATAATTAATCCACCAGATAATTCAGAGGCGGTCTGTTCCGTAAATTTTACTCCAGGAGCTGCGAGGCTTCTTTTCAAGCTTAGACTGAACTGAAGCAGCGGCTGCTGACGTCATTACGCTCTTGCACAATGCTGCGTTCAGGACAAGCATGRAAAACTCACCACTCTTATGCCAATACGGCCGCAATGATGCATTTAGGTACCGAAATAGAACTGCATGAACATTCACGTGGTGGTCATGTAATACAGCGAATCGATAATAAAAACTACTTGTGACGTCACGGCCTACCCCAGTTACCACTACTGTGCATGTGTGTCAAGGACAGAAAGGTAGATGTGGCAGTGGAAGCTGTCAAAGCAGTTTGGAGAGAAAAACAAAGTAAAGAACAAAAAAAAAAAGAAAACGATTAATCGATTATTAAATTAGTCATCGATTGTTTTAATAATCAATTAGTTGTCAATTAATCGATTAATCGTAGCAGCCCTAGTATTTTGTAAGCAATAATCACAAATATTTTGTGAAAAAAAAGGAGGTAGGTCTCAGTTTGCTGTGGCTTTTACTAAAAGTCACAGGATATTTTTTGGACTGAAAATATTACTTGCAATAGATGAGAAAAATGTTTTTGGCTTCTGTTTAAGAACAAATGTTGATTTCGTTTTTCATTTTGGTTTTTAACCTTGGATTTTAAGTTGTGACTATTAGTTACACATGTAATAAAAATTAATTCTGAATACCAAAAATGAAAGTATCGGTGAGCAGACTGAATGCATTGGTAAGCATTATATGACCTTAAATTAAAGACAATTAGACATTCAAAATGTTTTATCTGTGAGTCTTGCACAGCTGAAACGATGGGTACAAAGTACAACATGTCTTAACTCTTATGGCTTTTTCAGCTTCTGAGAAGTTGTTCAGGACACACTGACCCTCTCGGCAATCATCTGGGTCGTTAGGAGAGCTGTGTTCAAGCACTATTTATTTGTTTATTTATCATATCAACATGAGATGTTAGAGTCATGAGGGGAAAAAATGTGTAAATGGCAATGAAACTGACTGGAAAATGATGTCAGAAGTACACTGTATAAAACTGACTTGACAAAAATCCACCATAGTTGTTTATGCACAGTCTTTCTAGTTAAGTGGGTTTATTTACTTTTTGTTCAAAATGCATTAATTAGCATCTTCCACTGACCAAAAAACATTTTCTAATTCATGATTGCCACCTCAGCCAACTGACCTGAGAAAACACAAAAATAGCTATGATTCAGTTAATTTTAGAGATACTGTGTCAAAAATTGAGGTGATCTTAGCTGAGTCATTAACGATGATCATGACATCTCATATCACAAGTGTGCACAGCTTTAATTCAGATTTTATGACAAAATGATTTTTTTTCTAAAATGTTCCTATATTTAGTGAAGAGTTGCTTCTTTAAAATACACACACATGCAATAAAGGGAAGTTTAAATGAAAGAAAGTACACAAATGTGCGTTTTGCTGCTGCATACCAAAACTTGATTGAAGCCAGATATATACTGGCACCGTTTAACAAAAGAAACAGCCTCACATTACATTATTATAAAGTACACCGGCTAATTTAATAACTTGTCTGAGTTAAAATATTGTTTAATACAAACAAAAAGTTCCACAAAAAATGTTTTAGGTCTAGACCACATAACTAGCGACTAACTTAACTGTTACTAATGAAACTAATTGGACTTACCTGAGTCAATATGTAACTCCTCTGGGCTTCTTCCATCACCACCAGACTTGCATTGATGTAGTCATTTTCTGTGTTCTCCAGCTTTACTCGACTGTGATCAACTGTTGGGAAGAAAGATTTTTAGGAATGAGTTGTAAATTGATAGACGTAGTTAAAGATTTAACTACACATCACAGCGTAAACAGTTCAGAGTTTGGCACAAATGTTTACCCACATGGGCTGACATCTCTGTATCTGTTTCGGTTGCGATTCTCTGGGTAYTTGGCCACTTTGAAGGAGCACTCGTGGGACTGATTTCTGATTTCCTGAACAGAGGAAAAACAAAAATTAAAAACACTAAACGCCAAAATATTAATAAACTTAAGTAAGACTGATGGCTGCTCACCCCAGCCGCTATCTGTGCTTACGTTAATCGAAATACAAAATATAAGAGTAAAGAGAACAACCTTGAGTAACAGCATTCAAATACAAAATTAAACAAAGGGGTGTTATGTGAAATAAGGTCGACAAAGAACGAAATTAAAAAGAAATTAAAGTATCAGGCCATCAGCTTAACTAGTATGGTCCAATAACGTAGTAACAAACTTTGACAGGCACACGCTGGTTTATAAATACTAATAAATTCTTRTAACAGGTCAAATATAGTGTGACACATGTAATACACATATCGTGACAAATTACAGCTAGCTAATACCTTCTAAGCACAAGCTTTTAATCTGTGTTTAAACTTAAGAGCTGTAAGCTTAATACAAAACTACGTTTTCGTGACTATTACAACGTGGTAAACAAAAGGAGGTCAACACAGAACAAACAAAAAAGGACGAGTGACTTCAGGCTATAAACGTCAGCGTAAACTAATCAAAACGAAGTGCTAACCGGCTAAATGCCCGCTCTAATTACAAACCGTGTTAGCTTCATGCTAACTATGCTAACAGACTTACGTAGTACAGTTTCTGCCACCGGCCTTCTGAATCCATTTCTTCAAACTCTTGGTCCATTTTCTTTGTGGCAGCGTCTGTCTGTTCCATCTCGGGTTAAGTTCGTTAGAAATTTCACAATCTAACTCATTACTTTRTTCGGTTTTGACAAGTTTTTAATCAGACTTTCTGACCGAACTCCTGCCGAATGTTTGTCCGTTATGTGGTGCAGTTGTCATTACGACTACGAGCGACGACTCGATACCCAGTGCGCATGCGCAATATCAAGCGCATGCGCATTTCTTTTTGCAGCGGAGAGGCCAAAATAATCCAATCTGGAAACATAAAACTACAACAGTCTCATAACCCAGCAAATCTTCATTCATTCATTCATTCATTCATTCATTCATTCATTCATTCACTGAGAGGTCTCCCATATTCACATCAGATATCTATAGTATTTCATTTCCTTTTTTTATTAGTCTTGACAGGTTTGAATTGACATGAAGAATACTCACATACAGCAATATAAAAGTCAAATGATAAAAACAAACAAACAAACAAACAAACAAACAAACAAACAAACAAACAAACAAACAAACAAACAAACCCCCAGAAAAACACGGGTTAAGGCCAAGATCTTTTACTATTGAAAAATGTAGAACAAAATGTTTCCTTAAATTTTAAGCCCTGAGAAGGAAAGGAGTCTGTTACAGCAGTGGGTCCCAAAGTTGGGGTCGGGACCCAAAGTGGGGTCCTGAAACATCAAGGTGGAGTCCTGAAAAGATTTTCTGAATTAATTACATTTTTGTCTTAGTTGTTACAAAGGAGTGAGGTTAGTGTATTTAAAATGGGTAAATGTAGTATAAAAATATTGTTACTATGCCCATGTTTAGTTGACCTGATAAAAATGTTTATCATCCAAAAATATTTGGGGGCACAGGTCTGTGCTACTGCTATTTTGTGGGTCAAAAGCTGAAAAGTTTGGGAACCACTGCACTTTGGTTCCCGAAGTTGGACTTGGGATCCAATTACGGGTCATGAAGCACCTTGGATAATCTCCAGAAATCAATTTAAAGGGTTATAAAATAATTGCTGATGTAATATTTTCCCTATAATTATTACAAAAGCACATAAAAAGTATAAATAAGTATTTGTATTTGTGTATAAGCT